GGAGGGCTGTCTGCCATGGGAGGGACCCCAGGCTGGGGCAGGGAGGAGTGTGAGGAGTCCTGCCCTGGGGAGGAAGGAGCAGCAGGGACAGTGTGGGATGGACCGACCCCAACCCCCATTCCCCATCCCCCTGCGCCACTCAGGGGGAGGAGGTAGAGAATTCAGGAGTAAAGTTAAGCCCAGAAGAAGGGAGGGGTTGGGGGAACGTGTTTTAAGATTCAGGTTTTATTTCTCATTATCTTACTCTGATTTGATTGGCAATAAATTAAAATTATTTTCCCCAAATCGAGTCTGTTTTGCCCATGACAGTAACTGGTGGGTGATCTCTCCCTGTCCTTACCTCGGCCCACAAGCTGTTCGTTATATTTTCCCAGCCCTGTCCAGTTGAGGAGGGCAGTGACAGAGAGGCTTTGGTGGGCATCTGGCATCCAGGGTCAACCCACCACAGGTAGCGTGGCAGTCTGCGAGGCTCTCAGACTTTTCTAGGGCAGCAGCCAGCTTCATTTCAGGTTTAAGACAGCCGGGGGAATGCTCTGCCTGGTCTGAGGAATCAGTCCCTCCCCTCAGTTTGTTATGAGTAGCCCTGCTCAGTCATGCATGGCCACACTGCCCCAAAACCTGTCTAAACAGACAGTGATGACCAAGACTGAAACCAGTCAAATCAGGAACTTGCCAGTCCAACAAGAAAAAGATTTCTGCTCCACACTTACTTAGCACGGGCCGGACTCTGCCTTTTGTTTGATGCTCTTTGTTGCTTCTAAAAGCCACCGTGAAAGGGACACAACCCCCAGGAGAGCAGTCGGCTCGGAGTAAAGCTACACCGTGCGGCTGAAACATTCACACAGCTTGAGGCTGTCAAAAAGGGGAGACTGAATTCCTCACACACACACCCCCCACACACCTCATTTGCTTCTTTTCCCTGTCTCCAGCCCCCTGCTTACCCCCCGCTAGCTTCAGTGTTCATCAGGGCCTCTTACACGCCAGTTCAGCTCATGACCCTAGCAGAAAACAGAAGATAAATGAACCAGTTTGGGCCAGTTTCCAGGGTCAGCTTGGCCCATGGATGGATCTGACGAGCTCCAGAATCAGACGCAGGGTGGGAGGATCAGCTCAAGCGCTCAGGTTATGCCTTCATGCTGAGGTAGACGAGGGGCGCTGGCCACGCTCTGTAGCAATGGGAAGCAAAAGGCGGGGAGATGGAAACAAACTGCTTCAAATACCACAGCCAGCCCCGAGAGCTAGCATACACCCTCCCTGAAAGCTGAGGGTGCTTCCTCACACCTGCTGTGGCCAAGGCGTTTGTTCCCAAAACTGCACGGGCTATAAATCCTGTGCCTAATTTGGGCCACGTAACTTCCCGTTTAGACAAGCCATCTGAATTTCTGCTGGCTGTCACGATCCCACCAGAACACCTCCACAAATGAAATTAAAGTTTCCTCTGTGCGCGTGTGTGTGCGCACGAGCCAAGAAAGGAAAAAAGCAGCACCAAAACGGGAGGCAACCGCAGCCTCGCTCGTAAGGGTCGGTCAGTGCAGGCCTGCGATACGCTCCGATGGGAGCGAGGCACCCAGCGCGCGGTTGGGACCTTCAGCGTCACAGGGCAGATGGAGGTGAGACACACGCCGAGGAGAGCTCACAGCCAGCCGTTCCTCAGACAGGGGCTTGTGCTGAAACATCAAAGGCTGAACACCTAGGATTTGGCCAAGAGGCCAGGACATTAAGCAGTGAAGATGTTAAATCAGGCCCAAAAGGGAAGCAGCTGTAATGAATTCTCTTCAAAGCATTTCTCCGGTCAGGAGGTGCAGATTGAGCAACAGGCTGACATCAGCTAAAATAACAGGATGGTGGAGGGAGCGGCTCAGATGCTAAACCATGCGGATGTTACTTAGGAGACCATGTAAAACGTAATTTCTGACTAGGAAGAAAAATAAGCCAGAATTGCAGCATTGTTACCTAATCTAGGAAACTTTGTCAATAAAGTTCAGCTGTATGAACTGGCTCAGCATGACCACACGAAAAAAAGCTACCAGCCTTTTACTGGAATTCATAAGCGACCGCATCCCTAGCCACAGCGAGGCTTAACTAGCAGTGCAGACTGCCTGACACAGGCAATTCCTACTTCTTTTCCTGCCCCTGTAGACCTCTACACTCTAGCAGACCTTCTCTGGAGAAGATGTTGTGTCTAGTCCAGGTCCTTGCCCAGCAAGCAGCACGCACTCCCGCCCTTCCTCCCTCGTTATCCCGAGTGCCTCACTTTCGGAAGCAAGGATCAAACGGCCTTGCCATCAAACCTCGTGCTTATTTAACTCCCAACTCTTATCACACGCCTCTTTGATCAGTCAGGTCAGAGCCGCAGTCAAGGAAAAGGCAGCCTCGCTGCTCTGCTAAATACCAATTTTGGATTTAAGATACCCAGTGCGCCAGCACTGCCCGTTATGACTGGTCCAAACAGTAGGCAAGTGATATTTGCTGATCCTGCTGTTGAGCCACAGAGTAGCATTAGGGCAGCACATGAGTCCCTACAAAGATCTCCACTATTTCTCTACCTTCATTATTGGCCCAGAAGCTCACTCTTAGTTAAGAAAAGCTTGTGTTTACTCTCTGCTTTCATCTTTTCATATACTTTGAGTCACAGAGGCCTACCTCCCTCCCTGTAAATGTGAGCATTTCAAGATGAACAGGGCGAACCATGGTTGTCAGCCTAGTAAAGGAAAGAAGAACATCCACTTCCAGTGTTTTCTACTGAAAACCCTTTGCCTGCAAGGCCCTGTGTCATCACAAAATTCCTCAGGTGGGAAGGGTTCAGTACCTTCTTGCTCTAAAAAAAAAAAAAAGCAACTCAATCCAGAAGTGGCTCAGTACAGGAGAAAGGAGCTCTTCCCAAACTACTTCAACCTAAACTGGCCCATAGTCACATCACGCTAACACGTGATCTCTAATAACAAAGCTGACAAACTAGGAAAAAAGCTGGAAAGGGAGGGGACTGAAAAGGAAGAAGGGGACTGAGAATCTATCCGTTTTTACAGCCGTATCCAGCATAAGAAACACCAGTGCACGGAGAGATTGAGGAACGGGAAGAGCAGGTGACACCATCATTACTTCAGAGCCACTGGAAACTTTCTCTTCTTGTACCAAGTCCTTCAGAAGTGCCTTCTTCCAGAAACAACTGGTAGGAGACATGTCTACCCCTTTCCCCATGTCACTCCCAACCATAATCAGACAGACCTCTCTCTCTCTTTCAGTTTTGGCTTTCCTCTTAGGTGGGAGTAGCAGGATTGAGCAACAGCACCTACAAAAGCAACCAAACCCTAAAGGAAACCCAGGCATTGGGAAGCAGACACAACCTCTTCCTGACCAGAACACGACCTTTATTCATTTTCCTTCTTGAGAATGAGATAGCATTTTCATTTTCAGGCAATGTGTTTTGTCTGGCATCTGCAATAACCAAACTAAGAAAGGCATTAGTCCTTTGCCCAGAGCAAATTTTAAAAAGCATCTTTTTTCACCTTGAAAACCAGCGGATTGTCCCTGTGTTGTACCACAAGCCAGGGGATGTGCAAAGGTTACAGCACTTAGCTTTAATTTCCAAGTTCAGTTGTCTCGCAAAGAATCCCATCCTTTACAATTCTCTCAGATTTCGGAAACTTTGTTAACATTCTTATTTTGCTTACAGCAGCAGGATTACAGTCAACAGCTAGCGCACACAAGAAACTGGTCAGGACTCCCAGCACCCCTCCTCCTCCCATTTCAACCCCTTCCCCCCAAAACACAGAGATTTAGTAGAATTTGGGGGAGGGAGGAAGGACAACAGAAAGCTGCCAAGTGCCAGTGGTGCCTTCCAGTATCATTACCATTTGCAGAGCTTACGCACCTGCCTAATCCTGTCATCGTAAAGCAAGAAAGCTCATTTTCCTATAAGTACTTTCCACTTCATTGGTCTTCATATACATTAGCTCTGCTTCCTCAAGCTGTACAACTGTGTCATAACTCATCTGAGTCTTCTTTCCCTTAGCAGAACCAATCTGAGTGACACCTCACCTGACTGCCTAAGGCTGCCTGTAACATCGCGGCATCTCCCTGCTCTCAGGCTGATGCCAGCCTGCGACCCTGAGCTCCTCCAGCTCAGCGCGACCTCAGCTCACCATTACAGCGAGCAAGCACACCCTGCCAGCCAGCAGGGCCCAAGCAAAGCACTAAGCAAGCACTTGGCCACCAGAACCAGGCAGCCACATAAGGACTCCTACAAGCTTTAGGCCTGTGGTAGCTGTGCCAGGGCACCTCAGGGCAGGAAGGATAGAGTCCTAAGCGAGGGGAGCAGGCTGGGTTCAGCACTGAACCGCCCTTCCTCCCCCCTCTAAAGCCCAGCTGCTGACCCCCATGAGCAGCAGGGACCTGTGAACCAGAAACCAGCACCCACCTTGCAGGCAGCTCCTC